TTTTTGCAGAGATTGCTGTACACTTTTCTGTTGAAGAAATGTAGAAGGTTTCCGCTGTAGAAAATTAAAGAATATGTATTTCGGAGCCGCCGATCGCCCCCTAAAGGAACACAACTTACTGCACCTAAAGAAAACAGCACTCTCCGCTCGATGGCTCCGCCCATGTTTAACCGCCATTGGGCTAGGCGTGATCACGTGATAGCGCTGCACCGCTCTGCGCCAAAATTCAAAATCTCATCAAATGCGCAACAAGAGTCCAGGGACCCGTCACCCAAGTTTTTCATTTAGCCCCATCAAAATACATTTTATCACTCAACACTGCCAGATTAACTCCAATAAACCACCGTCTGCACGGCTGACATGATATGAAGGTTTGATCCGCTTCGTATTATTTGATGTGTGTTGTATTTTTAATAAATTAAACGTGTACAGTAGGTTAGTTGGATAGACTAATCACTAGGCCGCATGTCAGATAATAAAAAGATCGTTTATATATTAATAATTTACTGTTTTAATTATATTAAATATTAAGACGACAACAACTCTAATGTGTTTTAAAACGACGATGAACGCGATGAGATCATTGTAAAAAAATATATAAAAGCACTTTTATTTTATTTTTTACACAAATATTTTACAAGCCTGCCTTTCACGAAATCTTTTGCTTCTGAACGATCTGTCAAACAAAAATAATAACTACAATAATAACAGTAGGTCAGGTTGAAAGTAATCAATTTGTAACGGTATTTTATATTCTAGAACTAAGATCGTCATTCAAGGGTCGTTAGACTAGAGAGTCGTTTATCAACAGACCTTCTTATCGGTATATTTGGCCAAGATCTGCAAATATATATGAAATTTTTTGACGTATTTAATGTATATTTTACGTGCACGCATTTATTTTGACACTTAATCTGCTTTTGAATCAAGATTGTATGTTATTTTATTCTTTGTATGAAGGATCTTGCGAAGCGTCTAACGTTAGTTTCTTGTAGTTGAATAGTTCCTATGTGTACTGTATTTGGGACAAAAAACTTTTAAGTTAGATGTAAATATGACCTATTATGTGTTTTATATGCAGACAGTCATCAGCCGGACCTTTTTGCTGTGAGCAAACAATGAGAGAGAGCCCAAGGAGACCCATCATCCTGAAGAGGAGGAAGCTGCCATTTCAGAAGAGTGAATCTGATGCAGGGTGCGATGAGGCCGATGGGCCGCGCTGCAAGACCACCCTGACCCCGTCCACCACCCGCTGCTTCCCCGATGGCATCCGCATGATGGACCACCCCACCATGCCGGACACTCAGGTGGTGGTGATCCCGAAAGCAGCCGATCTGCAGAGCGTCATCAGTGCCCTGACGGCCAAAGGCAAGGAGTGTGGCCCACAGGGCCGAAACAAGTTCATCCTGCTCAGTGGCAGCACCAGTTTGGAGGAGAGCAAAACCCTCGGGTGTCTATCTACAGAACCCAAGGGTGATCTCAAGAAAGGTGAGGGATGTGGCTAAGACTGAGCTTGTTGATGTTCTGAAAAATGTGTTTTCTGAAACATTCTTTGCTGTGATAGTGAAAAAGGAGACGGCGTGCTTCCCGCTTGATGACAGTCTGACCAACATCCAGTGGCTGGGAAAAATGAGCTCTGATGGGCTCGGATCGGAGTCAAACCAAAAATGCACCAGCAAGGACAATCCAAGTGACTGTCATCAGGTACACAACGTTAAAGTCGGCATGAAATTAAATTCACCCTCTCTATTTTCTAAATGCACATTAGAGATCAGAGATGCATAAAAGTTGGCTTTTTGATGTGACCTGCCATGCCGTATCACAAAAAATAGAGAAAAATCGTGCATATCTTTATTTCTAATTTATGATTTTTTTTTGTTTAATTTTTGTAAATTAAAAAAAACTATATGAACTTGAATAAATAATTAAAAAAATTATGAAAAAAAATCATTTATATATATATAAATGTATCTACTGTATATATATATATATATATATATATATATATACAGTATAT